TATGAAGTACTGTTACTATGTTATATGATATTATTTATGAAATATTCATTTAGGTACAAACATAATACCTATCATTTTCTGAGTATGGTTATTTATGTTTACCAAATACCAGGCCTGTGCAAAGTACTTTATATGCATTATCTGATTTCATCCTTGCAAAATGTCTATGAGTTAAATAATATCATTACCCAAATTTTATATATGTGTAAACTGGGACTCAGATCGAATCACACATGTATTAGCTAGTATAGTTAATAATAGTTTAGAATTTGAATCTATATCTGGCTTAATCCAAAATTCATACTCTTAATAATTACGTTAATCTTTTGAAAAAAAAAATAAAAACAACTAGAGGTAAATAGACCAAACTTTTAACAATTATTTTTTAGGAAGTGAGGGTTGAATGAAATTGACTACAACAGCCAGGCGAAGAAGGAAAGAGGAAACAAAGTCAAGGGATACATTGCTTGAGGATCCCAAAGAAGTTTTTAAGAGGCTCATAGGAGACAGTGGACAACCATAACTTACAATCAAGACAGGGCCACTGAAGTGAAGTAAATAAGATTCAAGGTCATTGGATTAAGAAAGGACAAGAAAATCATTCATACAAAATACTGGTGAACAATATGAGTTTTTTAGAACTCTCAGAGAGCTCAGATCATACAGGGCTTTGTTGACATGTTAAGAAATTTAAGTTTTGGGGGGGGCTTTGTTTTAAGTCTGATGAGAAACCATCAGTTGGTTTTAAGTAAGAGAATGATTTGATCTGATTTATAATGTGAGAAGATCACTCTGGCTGATATATTGAGAATATGTCATGGAGTTGAGAACAAAAGCAGAAGTAGGGAAACAGGTTGGAAAGATATTGAAGTAGTCCAGTAATAATGATAATGGCTTGAACAAACGTGATAAAGTGGAAATGGAAAAAACTGACAGGTATATTTTGAAGGTAGGCTTGATAGTACTTGATGATGGATTTGATATGAGAGATAAGGGACAGTGAGAAATTAAGGAGAACTCCTACCTTGGAGCAAGATAGTGGATTATGGTGTCATTTATGGAGATGAGGAAGACGAGGGTGGATGGAGCACATTTTGATAAATGTAGACTTTACTATTGGATACGCTGAGTTTAAGAAATTTGGTTGTGGTTATATGGAGACCTTCATTTAGAGTTCAGCAATTCAGAAAGCCATGGAAGTAGGTAAGATTGTATAGGGAGAGGAGAGAATGGAGAGTGGGCAGAGACTTGGGCCTCCGGCAGGACTACGAACACCAGCTTTCTTTCCCTTTTGTGTATGCTAAGTTGAGTCATCAGCAGTGACTTCTGGAGCCCCATCTTCCTTAGGATCAAGAAACTGCTTGCTCCAGAAATTGTTGGAGGCAAGGGAGCAATCCATGCAAACATCTCAGGAAAGAGAATTCCAGACAGAGAGAACAAGTACAAAGGAATGTGTTTGGTGTGTTTGAATAACAGCAAATGAACCTATGTTACTGTAGTAAAATGAACAAGGGGGCATCAGTAAGAAACAAGCTTACAGAGGATAAGGAATGGAGATGGAATTCATTTTTAAGTGTTCTTCTGCAGGCCACTGGAAGAATTTGGGGTTTTAGGATGAGGAAAATGGATAGCCACTGGAGAATGATGAGTGGATGGTTGCTTGTAACTTTTGTGGAGAATAGGCTGCAGGAGGAGGAGCACAAGAGTGGCCGCAGGGAGACTAGCTATCACAATAACTCGGGCAACAAGTGGTAGCGGCTGGCACCAGCCTGTTAGCAGTGAAGTGGTGAAAAGCTGTCGTTTAATGGTTATACTTTTTAGATAGAGACAGAATAATTCCCAGATAGATCAGATGCAGACTATGAAAGAACAGAATCAAGAATGATTCCAAAGTTTTTGGCATTTACAGACAGGGACTGAATGAGGTCACCAAAGAATTAATAAAAATGAAGAAAAGATGATCAAGCTTTGGGGATCATTGTAAGGACACTCTCTCCTCCCTCCCTTTCCCCCTTCCCCTTTTCCTCCCTGCCTTCCATTCACTCATGGCGGTGCAAAGTTAACCTACTTATGCCCAGACTCAGAGTCAACCATCTTTCCTTGTTTCTACTCCCCACCCTCTGAAACATGTGCTATTAATCCCAGGAAACGTGCTGTACTATTGTGTGTCATCTGGGTCCCACACTCCCAAGTGACCCTGACATGAAAAGTACACCATAGTGGGATTTCAAAAATCTGAGGCAATTTAGCCTAGAGAAAAGAAGCCTTTCCAGGAAATGCAATAATAACTAATTATCTGATGACAGAATTAAGATCCTTGATTAAAGATCCTAATGGTGATGATTTAGGCTTGACAGAATCAACTTTTCCCAAACTGACATGGGCCAACTAGGAAGTAGTGAGGTCTCTGTGACTTTTAGTATAATGATCATATAACTTTCAAAAATCCATTCTCTTTCAAGATTCTGGTGAATACTATGCATACCATTTATCATATCTTACTAATATCCTTGGTAGTGGTTGCTACACTGAAGTTACATATTCTGGAAATAGCTACAACACACACTTTGATCTTACAGTCACATGATCAACCATTTTACTAAATACAAGCATTTTTTCATTCACATACAGCTAAATAAAGCATTTTTTCACATTTTATTACAGTGCACGACAAAGTAAGGAAAAGTATACAATATATTTTATTCTGGAATATGTGGCAATCTAATCCAACATGCAATTGTGGTCTTTGTTACAAGTTGTTTATCTTTTCTTTACCTATGTAGTAAAATAGCTTCTAAAGCTTTATCGTTAGTATTATATTAACACCTGATTTTTTCTCACGTGTATTCTAAAACCCACTTATTGCAGTGACAATAGCACTGAATTCTACTAAAATGATTTTTTTAATTTCTAGAACTTGTTGAAACAATTAAACTCAGCCACCTCTTCTGGATCTATGCTGAGAATTTTTAAACCTGCCTAAAAAAATGCCAGGAATGGGAAAAATATACATATAATGTATTTTAGTCAAGACAACTGAAGAGTTTTGTTTCTATCCCTTTATGAACAGGTAAGAATCAAGTCTTTTCCTTTCTTCACCCAACTAAACATATTTTATTTGCCTTCTACAACTATGAAGCAGGAAATTTAATTACACCAACCAAGCCATATCATGTGAAACGAATATAGAGCAGACAATCGGTTCACTTGTAGTAGATGCTGTAAATTTATCCAAGGTGGTTTGCTCATCCAGCTTGGGGCAGGTAGTAGAATGATCTTCCATAATTTTCATTATTTTGCTTCTTTTTTCTGGCTGAAGCAAATTCCCCAACTTTCAGATTCAGTCACATCCATACTGAAGTTCAATACTATATCTCAAAGCAGTTTGCCATTCTTATGCTTTCCTGTCACAATGGATATGATAAACCTGACTCTAATCAGAATAGTCTTCTCACTGTGAAAAGTATGGCTTGTGCCTGACTGAACTGACTACAATCCAAAAACTAATTTAAAGCATCACCTTTCTTCAAGAAGATAATGGAGGCTTCAAGTCAGTCATTCCAATTTGCTGATGCTGTTAGCTCACTGTTCAGCTGAGAATTAAATAGCTGACTCTCTAGGGTAGACACAAGGCAGTGTAGGCATAGGGCAGACAGGTAGCCCAGGTCATTGTGGGGTGAGTATTTTTGTACCCATCCCACTCCCCATTGCTGTATGTGGTTATTTTCAATAAAATGTTCATTGTGTCTCAATGATAAGAACACTTAACAGCCCACAGTTCTGATGTGTTTTCAGTTGTGCGGTTACTCACTTGTTTATCACTGTATCTTATCAGTAATACCTGAATGGGCTTTACCTTTGACTAATTCTCATGTTCCATCAGGAATATAGCTGAGTTTTAATCAAAAGGGAAACATATCCTAACATGTACAGGACATTTATTTACAGTCATATCTCTTCCAGAGTAAACACATTAATAATTGTTTATTCATCTGACAGAGGATGATGCAGTGAAAAGAACTACGAGTCAGGAGTCTTTGACCTTGGCCAAGTAAGTCTCCTGCCTGTTAGTTCACTACTCAGTGCAATGGTGACAAAAACCTCTCAGGCCTGTTAGGATGATCAAATAAGTAGCATAAGGAACTGTCATGTGCTTGTAAGGGTGATAATGCTCACTATTGAGCAGGTACTCAGCACAAGACTGTTGAGCAAGGATTTGCCTTTGGGCTATTTTCAGAGGCCATCCCTATGTTGTCCCTGTCAGGTGTTTAAAGAAGCAGCAGGCTATTTACTTCAATATTGCAGTTGCCAGTGCCATGAAACTGTAGGCACAGATGGGGGGGGGGGAGTATGGCTACCCATATGGTAATTTGCACGGGACAATTTCTTTTACATAGCTGAGAATTCTACCATTAGAGTATACATTTTCTCAAATGGCCTCCTTTTCATATCCACATGTAAGTATCTTAGCAAATGGCTGGTTCATATCCCTTATTTTACAGAAACTAACTTGTACCTTGTAACCAAACCCAGCACACACAGTTGGTATAGAATATTTTCTCTGAATAAGTTGATCTCACAGTCTTTTAGTTATGTTACTTGTTATCCATGTGATACTTTTTTCCCTTTACATGTTTCTTTATGTTCATGACCCATGAGTTAGTGGAAATACCAAGGAACAATAGGTGTCTTGTCTGTAGGATTGTTTTCCTGGGATCTAGCTTTTCAAACCCCAGGCCTTTAATATGTGGCTCACCAAGGGCACACAGAGCAGCCATTGCTCAGCGTGGGCCACAAAACAGTGTCTGGCCCTGTCCAGCCCATATGCACAGTGCAGTCCCTCAGTCCCAGCACCAGGCTCCCCCATCCACCCAGGGAAGGCGTCTCACTTGGTATCCAAATGGAGGTTCAGTTCTCTTCAGTCACAGAAAGGTTCTATTCATTTTGGTGGTTTTTGTAAGTTCAGGTGCGAGAGCATGTTTGGGAAAGAAAAGGGCCAACTAGCACAAACACCTCCTCTCTGATTTAACAACCTCTTCTGAAGAGTGAACCACATTTGGCACAAATCCACTCTTCACCCCTTCCCAGCCCTCCTGGATTGTAATCTCCCCCCTTTTAACCAGCTCATATATGTCTCTCGTCAGGTCTGTGAAGGCTTTCTCCACATTAATGGCATCTCGGGCTGACGTTTCAATGTACTTCATGCCGTATGCAGCAGCCAGTTTCTCGGCCTCGTGGCGAGTCACTTGCCTCTGAGTATCCAGGTCACACTTGTGACCCACCAGAACAAACACAATTTGGTAGGGCTGAACGTGTACTTTGGTCTCTTCTAACCACTCATGGACATTCTGGAAGGACCTGCGGTTGGTAATGTCAAATAAGAGAAGACCGCCTACTGAGTTCCTGTAGTAGGCTCGAGTGATGGATCTAAAACACAAGAAAGAAGTAAAGAATAAGGCCATGTGCAAATTCCTGCACGTCAATGAACTCAGAAGATTTTAGTGTTCCTGGTGATTACTCTCATAGCCATTTAATAAAAGCGATTTTATGTTTAAAGAAACAAGAGAATACAAATGCTTTTCTATAATAATTATGAAATACAACTTTTCAATTGGAAAAAAATTTGAGATAGCATCTTGTACAAATGAATGCTCATAGTGTTTCAGGCCTTTTCCCTCAGTTAAGCACTGGAAATGCTGGGAAATGATTGACTTTTATTTCCTGCCTTCAGACAAAACCACAACTAACTCCCACCACCAAATATGAACAACTGGTAGAGACTTCCTCTTCTGCAAAATGAGTCAGAGGGTTATCATGAGGCAAAATGAAGTAACAGATGTTAAAGTATCCTGTGACCTAGAGGGTTAGTTCATCAGAAATGCTAGTAATTGAAATGGGAGTCGTCAAAAATAAAAATGTACTTATGATAGTTAATAGAAATTCATTATAAGTATCTTACACTGCACCGTGCTTTTTCTGTTGATTGTTACTATGTTTTACTCTTTCCATTGTGCCTATTATTACCTACCAAGGATCCTCAATCTCTTCTGTGAGGAGAAAGACAATTTGTTTTCTTTTCCAGGCCATGTGGGAACAGTTAAAAAAAAAAAAAAAAGAAGTGGTGAAAGGGTTAGGGGACACATTTATGAGAGTCAAGCTCAGGATCTACCAACTAGGAAAATCCACCTGAATAGTCAAAGCTTCCCCCTAAAATAATATGATTGATTTAAGCCAGGGCACTTGGAATATTTGTAAAATTTGTTGTATATTTGCCATACTTCTTAGAAGAAATCTCACTGATTTTAACTTCTTGATTGGAGGAGCTTCATTATCAATATACATTATGGTACTTTGCTTGGAATATATTAGAGCCTATTAGAGGGGTTAGAACTTGCTTTAGTCTACTGTGACTTTTACATATACCTGTTTTTAGGTTTTCTGTCTCCTTGAATGAAAAATGTGAACAATGAAGGACTCAATAGCTTAAAGCTTAGGTGAAATGAACCAATGTTAACAGAACAAATATTGTCCAGGAAATTACAGTCCATGCTAGATGATGGTAAGCCCAAACAAGTTCATCTCCAGGATCAGGCAGGTCAACCTCAGGGAAGTAAAAACATTTCTAATTGCCTTGACTTCTGAGGATTCATGGTTAATGGTGGTGAGCCAGAAAATTAGACATGAAGGAAGGTTTTGATTTGTGAATGCTTGACTCAAGAAATCAATAAGCTGTAAGTCCCCAAAAGTGTGCTACAATGTATTATTACATTAATGGCTTCTGAGTATTTAGCAAAGTGACAAAACCCTTTCCTTTCCAAGCATAACACAAGGCTACATAAAACTTAAAATCTTCCCTACATAAAAATATCTTAGAGTGAAAACACAAAGGACAAACTGGAAAAAATATCTTACATGACAGGAAAGGGTTAATATTGTTACTCTGTAAATAATGGTTGCAAATAAATGGTAAATATTGGATATGACTAGAATGTTAATACAGAAATTCCAACATATAAAAGATATTTTTCTTCACCCATGAGAAATGCAATCACAGGTTGAAAGTGAACCTGTGCAAGAATATTTGCCACAGTGCGGTTTGTGGAAGCTGGGAGTTGGAGACAACTTAAGTTTATTATTTCCTATTCTCCCAGTATTTTTTAAATTACTTAACCAGTATCTTGCATGCTCAATGAGTGTTCAATAGATACATGAATAAATGATCATAAACATAGGCTGTTGAGTTCTCAATCTGATTCTTGCTGCTCTGAGTTTAGTTCAAATTGTTCTCTATAAAGTTTTCCGTGTACACATTGATCTTTTCCAGTTAGTTTTCCCTCCTCTGTGTTCATGTATGTAAGTACAAATAATAAATGCTATAAAGGAAAAGCAAAGGATTGTAAGAGAACATTAAACATATTCACTGATTACTCATCATGTGGCAGGTGTTAAAGTAGGGAGAGGAGCCACAAATACAAACAAGACATTCTTTTGTGTAATTCATGATTATTTCCCCCTAATAGGTCAGCACAGAACTTCTAGGAGGGAAGGGGTTGTGTGTTATTTTTAATAGATGGCATCCCTCATGTGGTTTCTCTAGAAACAAGTCCAGTGCCTGCCACATAGTAGGTGATCACTGATCACTGAATGTCTGCTGTTTGTAAAAAGGAATCAATCGATTTTGTTAAGACACATCTAGGTGTGTGTGTATGTGTGTGTATGTGTGTGTGTATCTCATGTATATACACAGAGAGATATAGAAACAAAATCTATGTGTCTTTGTCAGTTACATTAGGATGGCCTCTGGGAACAGTTTTGAAAGGATGTAACATAGGGACTGAGGTTGAATTACAGGAATCAATTCCAGATAGGAGAGGGTCCTGGTTATTAACTGGCCTTCTCTGCTATCGCGTTTCTTTCCCTACATTGCAGTCACAGAAGACCACCCCCCACCCCAACCCTTAGTTTGCCCTTTGAACAGCAACTAGGACCAGGAAGTCCTCGCTCCCCAGGGTCTGTGCAAGCCCTGAAGACCCTCCCATTGGTCATGGGCCCGGGCTGCGCTCCCACCTGAACCTCTCTTGACCCGCCGTATCCCAGATCTGGAGCTTGATGCGTTTTCCTGGCTCGATCTCCACCAAACGGGAGAAAAAATCCACTCCTACGGTGGGATCCGAAACCTGGGCAAAGCGACCCTCGGTGAAACGCCGAATCAAGCAGGACTTGCCCACCGTGGAATCCCCGATGACAATGAGCCGGAACTGGTACAGCCAGATGGCCTCCATGGCAGCGGCTTGGCAGGTCTCCTTGGCCCAGGCTGGGGGCGGCAGGAGGGGGCCCCCTGCCTAAGCCTCGGAGAGCTCGGCTTGGCCCCAATCTAGCTGGACCATGAGCTCATCGCTGGCCTGCTAGCCCAAAGCGAGGTAGGCCCAGGCGCGAGGAGAGCAGAGGGATAGATGCTGCGCTTGCAAAGGTGATGAAATGGCAGCAGCATCAGCACCACGCACTCTGACTCATCACTGACAACCGAGCTACTGTAATCCCTCGTGTAGACGCGACTCCCAGGGCTGCCGCCGCACTTTCTCTAAGAAGAGCGCACTCGCAAACGACCTTGAGAACAGCACATTCCCTTTTCCTTCTTTTTTTTTTTTTAATTTTCTTTTCCTTTCTTCTCCTCTTTTTTCTTTTCTCTTCTCTTCCCTTCCTTTACTCCCCTCCCCTTCCCCCACCCTTCCCCTCCCCTCCTGTCTTCTCTCTCCTCTCCTCTCCTCTCTCTTCTCTCTTCCCCTCCCCTCCCCTCCCCTCCCCTCTCTTTTCTCTTTTTCTTTTTTGTCTTTTCTTTTTAAAAGAAATTATTTGAAAACCAGAATTATACAGAGAGGGAGGGACAGACAGAGATCTTCTATCAATAAATTCACTCCCCAAGTGGCTGCAACAGCAGGAACTAGTCCAGGCTGAAGCCAGGAGCCAGGAGCTTCATCCTAGTTTCCCACGTGGCTGGCAGTGACCCAACTACTTGCACATCTTTTGATACCTTCCCAGGCCATTAGCAGGGGTGTGAATCAGTAGAAGTCAGGACTCAGAAACTAACACTCATTTATGGTCTCGCCTTTCACTTTTTATTGCCTCTTTGTAATTTAAAATTTCCTCTATCATTTAAATTGCAAATGTAATATCTTTCCATTGAAACTAGTGAAGTAATGCAAAATGTATGCAAAAATAGGACGTTTATAATTATATATTCATCTACATGTGTTTCCACATTTACATAAATATACAAACATACGTGAGTGTCCATATACATTTATTATTTTGTTTTCACTAAGATTCAAGATTGAATCAAAGTGGATCATTACTTTCAAACTTGCTTTTTGCAGTTAATTAAGCATCATAAACCTCTCCATTTCCAACTCATATTCTTTTTGCCTTAAAATTTTAAGGAAGAAAGGAATGAATATGCAGGAAAGCATGCAAGTATCATTATATTCTGAGAATTGTTCCTAGGAACTACATTGAATCTGTTGTTTGTATTAATATCATATTAAAATGAGAATTGGTGTAATTATCATGCATTTACTATGACCCTGAGAATCTAATATATTAATAAATTCCTTTGATTAAAAAATTAAAACAGATTTTATGTACAGTCACACTAACTTTATTTCTATGAACCAGACTCTTAAAGTGGGGCCAAGGACAGGGGTGTTATACATTCCAAAGATATTTACCAATTTATATTGCAGCCAGTAAAGTGTGGAAAGACAATTTCTTCTTCATATCCTTTGTATTTTTGTATATACTTTTTATTGTTACATTACACAATTTTATTGTTATATAAATTCACACATCATACAATTTCTCTATTCAGGGAACAATTAAATGATTTTTAGCATAGTCACAATATGTGTAATTGTCACCACAGTTAATTTTAGATAATTTTTAAAATATTTATATATTTATTTAAAAGGCAGAGTTACAGAAAGAGAAGGAGAGACAGACAGAGAGACAGAGAGAGAAAAGAGAGAGAAATCTTTTCAGTGGTTAACTCTCTGAATGCAAATGGCTACAATGGGTGGGTGCAGGGGCCCCGGTCATCTTCCACAGTTTTCCCAGACTGCTAACAGAGAGCTGGACTGAAGGTGGAGTGGCCAGGACTTGAACTGGTGCCCATGTGGGATGCTGGCATCGCAGGCAGCCACTAACCTGCTACATTGCAATCCTGGCTCCAGGAGATTTTTTTTTTTATCACTTTGAAAAGAAAGTGCAAACATTTTATCCATTGTAGTCCCTGGCCACCACTAACCTACTTTCTGGCTCAATATATTTCCCTATTCTGGACATTTAGTATAAATGAAATCATACAAAATGTGAATTTTTGTAACTGGCTTAATCACTTAGCATTTTCAAGGTCTATCCATATTGTAACATGAGCCAGTAACATTGGCACTCTATGTCCATGGGATTCAAAAATATTTGGGAAAAAGGTTATCTGTACTGAACACACACTGAAGTTTTTCCTTGTTATAGTCCCTAAACAATACAGCATAAGTTATTGACATAGTGTTTACATTGTGTTAGGTATTATAAGGAATCTACAGATGATTTAAAATATTTGGGAGGATATGCCTAGGCTCTCCTGCTCATCGACAACAAGAAATCCATTAGCTGGCTGTGATTTGGTTTTTCTTTTTCCTCTCTCCAAGCTGCTAGTAGTGTCCCACTGCAATCCCGTTGCTCTCTTACTGCTGCCAGGGCTCTTCCTTAGGCACTCACATGTAGACATAGTTGCCCTGCAGGAGGAGGTAAATACTGGACTTCACTATATGACTATCTTGAATCCACTCTCAGTTTCTAGTATTTTGTTTAGGATTTTTCACACCTACATTCAAAATATTTATTGGTGGGGGTTTTCTTATTGTTAGGACTTTCTGTGGTTCTACTTTTTGTAAGGGTTTGTGAAGAACTGTTTACTGTCTCAATCTTTATCTATTATCTATTTATCTATCTGTCATCTGTCTATATCTACCTATCATCTATCATATAGTCATAAGAACATTTAATGTAATATATAGCATCTCAGAAAAAAATTTAACTTTCTCTTTAAAGAAAATGGATAGAACTGGAGATCATTATGCTAAGTGAAATAAGCTAGACACAGAAAGAAAAATACATGTTTTCTTTTTTCTCATATGTGGAATTTAATTTATATACAGAGATATAGACAGTGTAAGAAATGTATGGGTGCCGTATTATTTGGTATATAGATAGTTACACATATTGTCTTCATTGAATTATACCATTTATATAATAATATACCCTTTTTTAAATAATTATTTTATTTATTTGAAAGAGAGTTAAAGAGAGAAGTAGAGCCATAAAGAGAGAGGTCTTCCATTCCGCTGGTTCACTCCCCAAAATGGCCACAACAACCAGGGCTGAGCTGATCCGAAGCCAGGAGCCGGGAGCTTCTTCCAGGTCTCCCATGCGGGTGCAGGGGCCCAAGGACTTGGGCCATCTTCCACTGCAATCCCAGGCCATAGAAGTGGAGCAGCCAGGACTCGAACCAGTTGCCCACATGGGATGCCAGCGCTGTAGGCTGGGGCTTTAATCTGTTGTGCCACAGCACCAGCCCCAATAATATACTCTGATTCCTTCTCTTTATGATGAAAACAGGGATGAATATAGTATCTACATATGAAGTGAATATGGAAATATGTTAAAATTGTTAAATCTTAAAGATACATAAATTAAAAAAAAACTCTTACTGTAGCAAATGTGAATTTATTATATAATTTTTTAAAGACTTATTTTATTTATTTGAAAGGCAGAGTTACAGAGATAAGAGAGGGAAAGACAGAGAAATCTTCCATCTGCTGGTTCACTCCCCAATGCCGAAATGGCTGGGGCTAGACCAGGCTGAAACCAAGAGCCTAGAACTGCCACATGGGTGGCAGGAGCCCAAGTACTTGATGCTTTCCCAAGAGCATTATCAGGGATCTGGATCAGAAGCAGAATAGCTGGGACTTGAACTGGTGCTCCAATATGAGATGCTGGTACCACAGATAGTGGCTTTTACCCTCTATGCTACAATGCCAGCCCCAAATAACTACATTGTTTTCAAATATTTATTTATTTATTTATTTGAAAGTCAGAGTTACACAGAGAGAGAAGAGCCAGAGAAAGAGAGAGAGAGAGAGAGAGAGGGAGAGAGAGAGAGAGTTCTTCCATCCGATGGTTCACTCCCCAGCTGGCCAGGAGCCAGGAGCTTCTTCCAGGTTTCCCATGCAGGTGCAGGGGCCCAAGGACTTGGGCCATCTTCTACTGCTTTCCCAGGCCACAGCAGAGAGCTGGATCAGAAGTGGAGCAGCTGGGCCTCAAATCGGCGCCAATATGGGATGCAGCGCTTCAGGCCAGGGCGTTAACCAGCTGCACCACAGCGTTGGCCCCAAATAACTATAATTTTTATAAAGAAAAAACTTAAGTGTGAAATACATTATGTTGTATACAGTGCAATATTGTAGGCCGAATCTCTGTAACCTATTCTCCTTACATAACTAAAACTGATTTCATCTTTAAATGTTTGCTAGAATTTGCTGGAGCAAGTGGCTGGACTTTTCTTTGTGAGGTTTTTCTTCTTTTTTAGCTTGAGGGAGAGAAAGACAGAGATAGAGACAGCACAGATATCGTCTGCTTCACTCCCCAGATGCATGAAATGGCTGGGGCCTGAAAGCCAGGAGCTAAGAACAAAATGGCATACCCTTTTCATTTGTTATATATCAGTTCAGATAGTCTATTTCTCCTTGGGTCAATTTCAATACTTTGTATCTTGGTAAGAATTTGCCAGTTTCATCTAACCTACTGCCATATAATTGGTCATAGTTTTCCATTATAATCCTTTCTTTTTTAAAGATTTATTTTTTGTTTATTTGAAAGACAGAGTTACAGAAAGAGTTAGAGTCAGAGAGAGAGAGAGAAAGGTCTTCAATCCACTGGTTCACTCCCCAGAGGGCTGCAACGGCTGGAGCTGGGCTGATCTGAAGGCAGGAGCCAGGAGCTTCCGGGTCTCCCATGCGGAATGCAGGGGCCCAAGGACTTGGGCCATCTTCTACTGCTCTCCCAGGCCATAACAAAGAGCTGGATTAGAAAAGGATCAGCCGGGACACCAAGTGGTGTCCATATGGGATGCTGGCACTACAGGCCAGGGCTTTAACCCACTGCGCAACAGCACTGGTCCCTATAATCCTTTTTAATTCTGTAAGATCAGTAGTAATGTCCCTGCTTTTAT